AAAAAAATTGGGTTTCTGTGCGAAACAAAATATAACTGTACACATTATTTATAAATACAGCAAAATCAAAACTTTATGGTTCAGATGATAAGCCACTCTATTGATGCTATCTTTAAAATAAATATTTGAATTCGAACGTTCCTTTAATTAGATACAGTGGACTTTTTAACAGTATTAAACGGTATTAAGGATCTGTTTTCAGACCATGTTTATCGTTAATTAATAATTATACAAATTAATTAATTAGAAAGATTTAAGGTTTTATAGTGAATATATATATATTAAAAAAAAAAAAAAAAAAAATACGAAGTGACAAAGATCACACACCGAGAATAATATGGTTGGAAGTGTCCTACATTTGACGGCTCCACGGTTCGCGTCCCATTACCACAAAAACGCGCTCCGCACTTTGAGATCGTGGGTGATCTATAAGAGTAAAGAACTAATTTTACTATTCGGTCAGACAAGGGTTGCCGGTGGGTGCTGTTGACTAGCTGCCTTCTCCCCAGTCTATCAGTTCAAAATTTGTGGCAGATAACCCTTCAGTTGGCGCTCATGTCCAAAACAAGTAAACATTTCAAAATTAGGCAGTCTTTGTTTATCTCTATTGGAGTAGAGCAGCAATTACTCTAGTATAGCCAATCCGCGATAAATGACGTCACAATTACTCTAATATAGCCAATCCACGAAAAGTGACGTCACAAAATTTGTTTGATGTTAGATTTTGTTTCTTGTGTTCCTTTAGTGAGACCAGTGTACACCATGGATACAACGACAGTGGTGTCACAACAGAATGGTACCATTCACAACTCTGTTCAGACGGTAGACGACTGTAACACCAACTTGATCGTCAACTACCTGCCCCAGACCATGACCCAAGAAGAGATTAGGAGTTTGTTCTCCAGTATTGGAGAGGTGGAATCTTGCAAACTCATTAGAGACAAAGTTACAGGTGAGACAGCGTGATTGGAAATTAATCTGGAATGGGGGGGGGGGGGTACATTTATTATACAGGAAACTTAGTGGGGTAATCTGTTTTGCTATTGAAGTGGGAACGAATGAGCATCTTTTGACAACTAATTAAAGTGAAATTAGTTAAGCCTAACGTTTTCTATTATTAAAGGTGGAAAAAACTGAAACTAAAATCCCGATATTTGTTTTTAGCATTACTCTTAATTAACTCTTTATGGATTTCGAATTGAAGATGTGTGAATACATTTGAAATATATTGTTTGTTTTTAAAACAACTAGCAAAAATAAATTCTGTATAGAATCCAGTTAATGTTTGGAAAAAAAAATATTACGCTAAAGATGGAGGAACAGGGGGATAAATGCATAATCAAAAGCGTTTGAATGACGTTTAAACCTTAACTTTTAAAATATTACACTGCACATATAAATAGTGTTTCATAGAATCTTTTGTATCTCATACTCCAGCCCAACTGACTAGTTCCGGTAATGAAAGAAAAGCTGACTTGTGGGAGACAAAAACTAGATATGTTATTTTTTACACACCTCAGACTTCCAACCGCAATGGATATATTAGAGAAATGTGTGAAAAACTGCCTTTAGCTTGTTTTTATAGCTGACTTGTGGGAGACAAAAACTAGATATGTTATTTTTTACACACCTCAGACTTCCAACCGCAATAGATATATTAGACAAATGTGTGAAAAATTGACTTTAGCTTGTTTTTATAGCTGATTTGTGGGAGACAGAAACTAGATATGTTATTTTTTACACACCTCAGACTTCCAACCGCAATGGATATATTAGAGAAATGTGTGAAAAACTGCCTTTAGCTTGTTTTTATAGCTGACTTGTGGGAGACAAAAACTAGATATGTTATTTTTTACACACCTCAGACTTCGAGCCGCTATGGATGTATTAGAGGAATGTGTGAAAAACTGCCTTTAGCTTGTTTTTATAGCTGACTTGTATACGTAACAAACATGTTAGGATGTTACAAACCAAAAAACCTGGCGAAGAAACGACTTACAGTAAACAAATGCTATTTTTATATAAAACCTGTAATTTAATAATTAAGAAGAACGTAGGGGAAGAGTGGGGTGGGGGGGCATGTGCAGTCTAGCCTTTTTTTTATTTTTTTTATTATTTTTTGTTGTTGTTGTCGTGAATATTAGGCTTATTAGTTCCATTGATTCGCCAGCGTTCGGCGTTTAAATACATTAGCTTTCACCACACCCAACTCCTTTACACTCCCAGAGCAACTATTTAAACGAACCTCGGGACGCAACAGATTTTCTTTTAAAACGTACTGAACGCTGAACATGGTCACTTTGCGGTAATGACAATAGATTAACAATTGTAAGAAGACCTATCGCGGGCATTTTCTACATTCGGCTATGTTGTAGTGACCTTAGCTAGTATCTATTCTGATCCGCGAAGGACACCTTCGTTAGGCTTAGGTATATCGATCGCAGCTCCAAATTAAATTTATATAAATACCGGCGGGAACTCAGCCCGACTGCAACGTCGCCGAAAGCTTGCTACGTTGAAAGTTTAAGCTCATTTGCAAGAGTCGTCTGATGTCTCCCTAACAGCAACACGATCTACTACTATGTTGGGGTGACTTTAAAAATAACTCTTCCCATGAAGGTTCGGTCAGGATAGTGCTGATGTACATTAATATCATTTATAAGTACGTTTGGCCTCTTTTAGAGCATTTCTCCATTCGATAGCGGCTCCAGAACTTTTGTTAATTTCTCTTCTTAATTACTGTTTTTTGTTTTTGTAATTTACGTTACATGTGAACTTTTGGGATTTTTGAAGGATATACTAATGTACACTTTCTATATAGAGGTCGCGTTAGTGTACATGTATTAAGATTTACGAAACATATGCTTACTTTGAGAATTGGGCCCCGGCATGGCTAGGTGGTTAGGGCGCTCGACTCGCAATCTGAGGGTCGCGGGTTCGCCGTCCCACCAAACATGCTCGCCCTTTCAGCCGTGGGGGCGTTATGTGACGGCCAATCCCACTATTCGTTGGTAAAAGAGTAGTCCAACAGTTGGCGGTGGGTGGTGATAACTAGCTGCCTTCCCTCTAGTCTTACACTACTAAATTAGGGACGGCTAGCGCAGATAGCCCTCGTGTAGCTTTGCGCGAAATTCAAAAAAACACGCACTTTGAGAATTAGCGACGACTTTAGCGCCATTTGGGATAAAATGACTAGTGACCCCCCCCCCTCCCCCATCCTCTATCCTAAGTGTGAACTTTAAGCAATATGAAAGAGGAGAAAACACGAAGTGGGAGGATTATACATACTGGCATCTCGTGCCCGGGATGCCTCATCTCCACGAGCAATTACTTCGTAATTAACTTGTGTTCTGCACGTGGGATCGTCTCATGGTTCATCCACCGGTTGAACATACCGAAAAGTGGAAGGTATGTATGTAGATTGTACATAGGCAGGCACGGGCGTGGCACGTGATATAGCGCGAGACAAATGGCCTGCCACCTGATGCAGTCAGTCGTGCATAAAAACAAAAGATGCTATTTGCTGTTAAATTGCATTCCGAGTGAATGTAATAAAATTTATAGTCGTTCTGGGCCGAGAAACAAAACCAAATCTTCCTTTGCGTTCGTGTTTTATGAATTAACACAGTTTGTACTGAAACTAATCATGCAACCCTTAATATGTAGTACGCAAAGAAGAAAACGGCACGCAGTATGTAAGATCGAAATTTATACCGGAGAGAGAGGGGGTGGAGGTGCGTGTGAAAACTTTTGTAACCAGCAACGTTCTAATTAATTTTCTGCGTTAGAAATAAAGGGTTTTAAATGATTGTCGGTGATTAGAAACAAACTGTACAATTATTTACTTTCTTATTTAAGATAGAAAGTACAGGTTACATTTTTTTTCACAATATTCCAGTTTTAACTCCACTCATTCCGGAAACAAATATTGTTGTTGATTCCACAAGAATTGGATTGAACCACAATAGAAAACACTATGAATGTCCCTCGTAAATCTGACGCTAAGCCTAACCACAACAGAAAACACTTTATGAATGTCCCTCGTAAATCTGACGCTAAGCCTAACCACAACAGAAAACACTTTATGAATGTCCCTCGTAAATCTGACGCTAAGCCTACTGTTTCTTTATGATAACCCTCAATATCTCTAAAGAGAAAGGGTAAATTTCAGTTGTCAAATTTACTTGTGAATTTTCCAAGTCTGTAATCAACGTTATGAGTTTTCTAAAGCATAAAGAATTGGGAAAACCTGGCCTGACGTGTTCTAGTGGTTAGCGTGCCTGGACTTGTACTTAAGGATTCATGGTTCACTTCCCTTTGCTGCGAAAACGTGTGTGTGTGTGCGCGTTACAAAAGTGACAGTCACATCCCTCTATTTGATCAGGTAAACGTAGCACAATAGTTGGCTGTTCACCAGCTAATGAGCATCTATGACCAAATGTACCATGTGTAAAAAACCGTGAAACACTCTAAACCTTATGATTATCTTCTGGTCCTGATCGTATAAGAAGTTGGATTTGGAATTAACGAAATAATTACTTTGAAAAGACCAAATCATTCGTATGCTTGGATATACAGTGAGGATTGGTTATAAGTGTCTCCAATAGGGATGACGGGTATTTGTTTTTAGGATGATAACTATCTTTTAAAACCATGGCTGAGATTTGTTTTTCAACTTTTCAAGTACACTATTAGCTCATAGCTACGTCATCTCTTGACCGATTTTGAGATATAAATACAGTTTTTGGATTCGGGAGGTCAAACCCTTTTAATTAATGAAGTTGGCCACATCCAAGGTCTCGTAGATTAATTTATTCTAATCCTGCCTAAAAGGATTTCAATTTGAGGGTAGGCTGGCAGAAATCCCGAGGAGTAATAAAATCGAATCGGGTATACGCTTTGTACTGCTGATTAATAATAATAATAAATAAATAAAATGGAGGATCTCTTACTCTAATCCCGCGGCTATTGAGGATTCCCTCTTATTTCTTCTTCTTCAAACGCAGGAAGTTTGACACGATATTAAATCTGACAGAAGTGTGTTTATAATAAAAAAAAAAAGTATAGAACTTTGAATCACTTTGGAAGAGCAGCATTTACACACGTAAAATAAATATTCATAAACATGAAATATTGAACGTAAAACATAAAAAGGGCTTTCTATATTAATTTATAGCCATACTGAAATATATAATTAAGAGTGTGGGGTTTGAGGTATACAAGAAAACGCAATGGGGTGGGTGGGGGGGGGAGTATGCAGTCGAAAAAAGTAAAGATTTTATAAAAGCTTATAATATTGACAGAGGAATGAAAACTAAAAGTACCACTAACATTTACATTAGCAGTTTTAAACAATAAACTGCTTATATTGTCTTGGTATAGTAGGTTAAGCAGCATATTCTGATGCTCTCTCGCATTCGTATATTTCAATATTTAAATTGGATATATTTTCGCAGGATAAAACAACTAAGCACGGCTACGTCTAACTCTGTTTGCCATAGCAACCCCCTCCCCTCCCCCCGCTAAAATGAATAACTTGTACTGGCTAAAGGAAGGGATGGAGAAGAAATCCATTGAAATAATAGCATTCAAATATAAACTCGGAATTTAGAAGAATTGGTGTGGGGGGGGGGGATTTCCGCCAGCTGACTCTTTTCTTTATCATTATCTTCGCATCCCCGACTATAATGACCCCCCACCCATGCGCTGTTTGCCAGCTGATCAGGAGACTTCCGCTCGTCTGTTAGCGGTCTTTGCTTTGTGCTGGCACGTGCCCAGAAACCCCACCCTCTTCTCGAGCACAGAAGAATATTGCATGGGAAAACTTTGTTCCCTCGGGGACAGATGCAGTCTTTTTAATAGAAGTGGTTCGGTTGTCATAGCAACACTAGGAAACGGCTTATCTCGTTGTTGGATGAGAAAGAAACAGGCATGATTTTCAAATTAAACTTGTAACTGATTTGTGGCATTACGTTGTTTGTAGCCTCTTTCTCCATGAGGCTTCATTTGCTCGCGGCTCTCGTATCATGTCCTACTCCAAAACTAAAGATATAAAAATCTTTACTTATTCACCCCTTCCCCCAATAACGATTTTATATACTTAACAAAGCTCCTATTGACTAGATATTGCACGACGGTTGAAAAAAAATTTGAATTTCATTTCCCCAAAAGGGGGGCGAAAGACCGCCTGGAGGAGTCACCAGTTTTAACCACTCGCACCATTATACAGTACTGATTAGTCAGTAGTCACTGAAATGATATCACATAAGGGACGCTTAACGTTGCAACCTGCATTGTCGTGACGTCAGTAAAACGTGCGCATATCATGATTAAACTGAATTAGTTGGAATGCAAAATTACGAACACCTAACGTCCTATACGATCATATACCACGCATGCCCATCATTACTACTGAGTTCTTGTGGATCAGTTGCCAGGAGATGAGAGTTCTTACTCCCGTCTGTATGGCTGACGAACACTGTGAGTCTAATTTTGGTAGCCCCCTACACGGTTTAATTTAGTTTGTTCCAAGTGAAGCTCGCCTTTCCAAATCTAGTCCTTTCTATTTGTGTGTTAAACATAGATTAAACCGGTGCAGGTGTAACCGAAACAAAGGTGGAAACTGTCAAACGAAATCTTATATTCGAGTTGCACTTGACAGAAATAAGTAAAATGTAGAATCTCGTCTAGGCTATGTTCGTCGCTAAATGTGTGACGAGTGCTCGGGTAATCGAATCCGATTAGAGCTCCCGCAGAAATCGGTTTTCAAAATTCGCTATCGTTTCTATGCTGAAGTAGAAGAAGAATTCTGTTTTGACAACCAACTATATAAACCTTTTAAATAATTAATATGTCACATGAATTATTGTGAGTCTTACACGCTGGACCACATAATACAACACAAACTGACGCGCTAAATCAAATCAGTTTAAACATATTGTTTCCTGAAAAGGGTACTCTGTCATGTTTTCTAATGTGGGATTCAAGAGGGCCGACGATTAACCGAATGGCCGACGATTAACCGATTCGATTTCATGACAAACGATTAATCGATTTTAAAATCGTCGCAGCGCTATCTAATTGATGGTATTTTCCTTCGGTATGAGTACTAGCTGCATGCATGACGATAACGACCAACAGCGATATAATACATCTTACCTCAGGAGTCTAAACAACACCATGTGGCTGCCCTTTCGCTTACAGCTACTAGAAAACGATAGAGTAGCAAACAGAATTTAAACTATGGATCTCTGATATTCTCTTGTTTTAATGTACAATTAAGCAAGGCATTTTATCAGTCGTAAAGAGAATATTATTTATAACTTGATTTGCGTTGCTTTTTATTACACCAAAGTTTACTTATAGTGGGGGGTGCCCATTTCTAAAGTTACTTGGCAGCCACTAAAGTTCTTGGTTTATAAGTTTGTGTTTTGAAGGATCGTAGACTTGTATATTTTTATGTTAATAAAACTTTGTTGATCAGTAGGTCAAAGTCTGGGGTATGGGTTCGTTAACTACGTTCGTGCAGAAGACGCAGAAAAGGCAATCAATACACTGAATGGACTCAGACTTCAGAATAAAATTATCAAGGTGAGAAACCTTTAGTGTATCACTTGAATAGCTGTACATAGATAACTGTACATATTTCTAAATAATCTAGATGCTTAGTAGGCTAAGCAGTATAATTCTGACGCTCTCTGGCGTTCGTATGTTTAAATATTTAAATTTGATTTAATTTTGTAGGATAAAACAACTAAGCCCTGTTACGTCTAACCATCGTTGGCATAGCAACGTCCACCCTAATGAATAACTTATACTGGCTAGGGTGAATAAAACAAAACAAGAGGGAGGGAAAAACGGAGACTATGAGGTAACGACGGGAAATTTAAAGTTCTTGAAATTGTACGGTAAAGTATAAATGTGAATATTTAGTTAGGAATTTGTGTATTAATTCAATTACAGAATTGTTTTATCTTATATCAGCTCGATCCTCTTGGGTGTCACGAACCATAGTTTGATTAATGCTGCTACACGTTACCTTACGGTGTTATGTAACATAAGAGCAGTTGGTAAGTACATACGTAGTCGAGTAACATTATTAAACAACGGGTTATTTACAACAAACTGCATTATAGTAACGATCTTATTGAAGGATAGTAGTCAACATTTCTATTTATTTATAACGTAATAATGAAAGATAGCGGTCAACATTTTTGAGTATAGTGACCATTTTATTGGAAGATGTACCGATTGGTATTTTGTTATAGGGTGGAAGATGCATCAGTAACTAAACATTTCATATAAGGTGACCATTACCTACCGGAACTCCGGTATTGTTTGTACAGGGTAACTATCGCCTACCGGAAGTCCAACATCATTTTTTTTGTACAGGGTGACTATCGCCTACCGGAAGCCCGATATTTCTATACAGGGCGACCAGAGTAGTTTGTGTTCAAATGATTAAATCTGGTTTAGTTTGTCAAATGTATATCATCCTTCTGGCGTCCAGGAAACTATAGAAACAAAGGTTTGATTCTTGCCAGGTCTCCATTGTGTTGAAAACAAACTTAGTTTATTTTATCATAATGTTCATTGTACCTTTTTATATTGTATAAACCAGTACACCGAGTGTAAAGAAACTTTTGGCCACTTCGTCATAAACTACATGCAGTTAAATGGTAATCCTTGCCCATCAACAATCGTGTGTATATACAATAACTCTTGGCACTAGCTGAGAGCACACTAGCTTCTGAAGACTGTACAGGGAAAATTAACGGAAATGACCGATGAAGTTTCAAATAAAAGTAGCATCTAAACCTCATGAACTACCCGACTTTGTGATTAGCCTGCCTGGCGTGTCAGTTAGAAGGTTCATGGTTCGTAGCTCGTTGTCATAAAAACACGTTCCGCACTTTGGGGCCGTTGAATTGTCAAATGCCACATTTAGACCATACAAGATTCGCCTGTGGGTGCTGTTGACTAGCCGCCCAGTGGGTGCTGTCTTCCCTCTAATCTGTTACTTCAAAATTAAGGAGAACAATGCGTATATAGCAGTTATGTAGCGTAACGTTGTACTAAATCTTCGGTAAACAATAAAAGTAGTGTATTTACAATCAGGACAACAATGTGCATATAGCAGTTGTGTAGCGTAACGTTGTACTAAATCTTCGGTAAACAATAAAAGTAAATATGCACATTGTTGTCCTGATTGTAAATACAGCTACACAACTGCTATAACGTTGTACTAAATCTTCGGTAAACAATAAAGGTAATGTATCTACATTCTTAATATAATATTTACTGTGTGTATGTATGGGTTTCTAACACCCCATCTTCCACACACGTGCTATTAGCCTTAACTTGAACATATTTGCTGAGAATTTCTAACTTTATGTTCAAACAGGTTTTTAAAGAAAGCCCGTCTTTATGTCGTCATTGTATCTCTATATTATTTACATTGAACTAACTTAAAGTTTTAATAAACAACTTTCTCGAAATAATCATTAAACTAGGCTTAGAACTGTCACGTGGGTAGCCTGCTTCGTCTTCCTGATAGCTGGACAGAATAAACCGCGGTATCCTGGCAGAAATACTTTAGAATTAAGTAAACAAACATACAGCAGCGTTCTTCTGGTGTACCTAAAGAGTTACGTGTCAACATGGTAAAGTCGGAGAACACTATTTAATTAACAGAAAAATTATTCAACAATGAAGGAAATGAGTGAGGAATGGCAGACGAAGATATTTAATTCGTCAAAGAAAGAGAGAGAGAGAGAGAGAAAAAGAGGTAAGTTTTGACTCTTCCCAGTTAAAGATTCCAAAGTGAAGCCGAGGAGTATGTTCAACAGCAGTGCCCTCTATAAATGTAGTTCATTCAGTAAAGCAACGTGTATGTTAGTTCACGTGACCAAGTTCATTAGCTCGGTTGTCACAGTTGAGGCTTATGGACGCTCTCGTGTGATGCGAAGAAGAATGAATTTGGCATCCGTATGATTTTGTAATAAGTTAGAAAGCAGTGAGACACAAATGGTTTTTGAATTAATTACGCACGACATTTCTTGCGAGTCTGCGTCACATAAAATAAAAACGTAAATGAAAATAGCATCAACATTACAGGTCAACATTGCTTGTAAGGTTTCCCGAGTACATATTTTGAAGTCCTGAGCGCATCATAAGAGTTTGTGGTGGATGGTCATTAACGACCTTTCTTCCACCTGGTGTCGCGTTTCAAAATTAGTCGGCTAAAGTAAATAGCCTCGGTGGCTACGAATTTACAACGCTAAAATCCTGGGTTCGATTCCCTGCGGTGGACACAGCAGATAGTCTAATGTGGCTTTGCTTAAATAACAGCAAACGACCATCGAGGAGCTTTGAACTAAGGAACTAATTAGTTTGTGTTTAACATAGAAAATAAGTTATTTCACATGTTTTCTTTAGTCGCTTCTTTACACTAAGTTGTTGTGACAGGAAAAAAAAAAAAAAAGAAAGCACAAAACGACTCTGTATGATTCAATATGCGAGTCTCACCGGCAGTGAACAGTATAAAAAGAAGTCGGTAATTTGATATTCTTTTTAAGCTTTACACATTTTTAAAGTTGAGTTTTTTGTTTGTTTGTTTCAAGTTAAGCACTGAGCTAAACAATGGGCTGTCTGTGCTCTGTCCTCCACGGGTATCGAAACCCGGTTTCTAGCGTTGCAAGTCCGCAGACATGCCGCTGTGCCACTGGGGGGGAGGGGGGTTAAAGGTTAGAGATCGCCTTTCTAAATTGTATTACTGTCTCACTAAAAATGACTTGTTTTAAAGTATTAGATCGGGACGTGATCAAAATCGTTTCTTTCAGATTGATATTTTAGCCAATCGCGCCGGCCATAAAAGGCAATGCAAGTTACCCGTACGTTTCCCAATTTTTGGTATTTTAAGTCGTCTTCTTCTGTCACCGAATGTAAACAACACGATCGGCTTTCATCCTCTCCTCAACTTAACGGTTTTCTAAAATAAGAGCGGAGAAAGCCACATCTTTATTTTCTAAATATAAATTTTTCCGTTTCCATCTTGCCTCAAGTAATTTGCTCTCTCTTGTGGGCGGGAGGGGGTGGGGAAGATGTCTCGGGGACTAGTGACAGAGAGTGAAGGACTCCGAGGTAATTTCTGGTGTAATTCTTAAAATAAACAATTCTCATTTAAATTATTCTTCTATACATATGAAAGTAAAAAATTTACTTAGGAAATAAACAAAATAACGTTTAGAAAAGCATTGGAAGTGTAGATGGCGCTAGGTAGCGCTTAAGACGATCACACGCACATACATATATATCACTACTACAACAAAGGCTATGACCTATATATACGTGTTCTTTTTATTATTATTAATTGAAATAGTCGACTTTTAACAATTGGATCCCAGTTCCTGCTATATTACATATACGCAGGCATTCTGTTTAATTCATTACAAATCAATTGGTAGATGGCACATTGAACTGGGTGTTTTATTTCAATTAAAACTGAAAAAACAAGTATCAAAATAATTCCTATGACGTCATTACTATTATTTTATGATTATTTAAACTTAAATGTTTGAATTACTTGGAAATACTTTTACATTAATTTGTTGGACAACAAGGCAACTTTTAAATAGTTTTCTTTATATTATTAATAAGTTAATGTGGTTGGTTAACTTTATATTATTAATAAGTTAATGTGGTTGGTTAACTCTATATTATTAATAAGTTAATGTGGTTGGTTAACTCTATATTATTAATAAGTTAATGTGGTTGGTTAACTCTATATTATTAATAAGTTAATGTGGTTGGTTAACTCTATATTATTAATAAGTTAATGTGGTTGGTTAACTCTATATTATTAATAAGTTAATGTGGTTGGTTAACTCTATATTATTAATAAGTTAATGTGGTTGGTTAACTTTATATTATTAATAAGTTAATGTGGTTGGTTAACTTTATATTATTAATAAGTTAATGTGGTTGGTTAAATTCGATACAGTGGCGAGTTGGGTACACAGACTATGAATTCTAGGGTACATGGTTCGTGTCCCGTTGCTACAAAAGAAAATTGTACCACACGTTGGGGGCCATGGGTACGCTATAATAATGGTCAAATCACAGTATTAGATCTGACGAGAGTTGGCGGCGACTGTTGTTGGCTAACTGCTTTTATTCTGGTCTGTCAAATCAAAATTACGGACGGCTGTGCGCAAACAGCCCTTGTGTAGCATTGTGTAAATTTCAGGGAAAAAACAACCAATTGTGCGTCGCCTCATACCGACTTATTAGGGCGAGATTTGAACCTTAGATTAATAAAATAATAACTGTGTTTGAAAGTAAAGAGTTTTTATGAAACACTCGAGTAAGTTTGAAACTCAACAAAAATATTTAAATTGTTTTTTTAAACGTACGTTTTTGTTTTTTTTGTTTGTTTCGTATTTTTTGTGCAAACTTACACAAGAGTTATCTGCCAATAGCCGTAACTACTTGTGAACTGGTAGATTAGAGAGAAGGCCAGCAATAGGCAACAACACTCGCCGCCAACTCTTGAATAGTAGAATTTGACCTTGTGGCGCACCCACCATCTCAAAGTGCAATATGTGTTTGTGTGACAAGAGGACGCGAACCATGAATCCTCAGCTTTATCGTTCGGGCACACTTAACACTAGGCCACGGCTGGCTCATAGTTTAAACGTACGAAGCCTATATCTAAACTAATGGTAGCTAGTAAAACCTCTACACTCTTGATATTTGTATAATATTAACTTTGCATGTCGATATTTGAAGGAAGAATATAAATGCGCAGTTAAATGTAAAGCTATTGATATAATTGTGAAAAACAGCTTTAGTGGGCTTTTTTTCAAAAGGCAGCTGTTTAAACATTGGCACTTAAAGTAACTTGTATTATGGAGGCATGTATCAGTATTCTTTAAAATGTTAGGCCTTATTGCTAACCCTTATTACCGATTTGTTTCTATACTGTTCACTCGCTGCTGGTGGGGTCGATAAATCGCATCCCATATTAAGAAAAAAACTGCCATAATCATTCGGTTAAATCGCTTTCTTTATGTACAAAATAATTAGTTTGATTACCTGCAACATCATGATAGTTTGTTTCATTTTTGTGTGTCTGTCCGACTTGCATCATGGCCAGGTGATTAGGGCGCTCGACTCGCAATCTGCGGGTTCGAATCCTCGTTACACCAAACATGCTCGCTCGTGGGGGCGCTATAATGTTACGGTCAATCCCACTATTCGTTGGTAAAAGAGTAGCCCAAGAGTTTGCGGTGGGTGGGGATGACTAGTTGCCTTCCCTCTAGTCTTACACTGCTAAATTAGGAATGGCTAGCGCAGATAGCCCTCGTGTAGCTTTGTGCGAAATCTATAACAAACCAAACCGACTTTCATATTATTATGGGCCCTATAATAAAAAATAAATAAAAAATCGTGTACCGTCAAGTAAGTTGGTGTATAAGTAGATTGGAAAAATGTTTTAAAAAGCCGACAAAGCCCATATGGACACACACCCCTTCACCCATGGGTAATTCTAGGGTTAACGGATTGACATCACTTCCTTTTGTACTTTTGAAGGCTTGTAACGCTAAAAACTAGGTTTCGATACCGGTGGTGGGCACAGAACAGATAGCCCATCATGTAGCTTTGTGTTCAAACAACAAAAACATTTGGACGATAAAGAAATTTATGGAAAATTTCTCACTTTCATTCCTGTACGCGAAAAGTAAAAACAAATTTTAATTATAAATAAACAGTCTAATATGTAGTTAAGTAAAGTATTTCGATGACAGCCTATAACACCGAAATTCGTCGGGTTATATGCGAACTTGTTTTGTCTTGTGGTGGGGAAGACTGAAAGACATAAAGGATTTTCAGGTTGTTAGAAATGTCTTAAAGTACCACCTGTCGTACTTCTCTTCAGCAATTATATTATGGTAATGTTAAATCCTGTCGTAATTCTCTTCAGCAATTATGTTATGGTAATGTTAAATCCTGTCGTACTTCTCTTCAGCAATTATGTTATGGTAATGTTAAATCCTGTCGTACTTCT